CACCCTATTCCTGCCTGCTCATAGCAGTGGAGATGCCCAGGTGAAGGGCCAAAGTGAAGGGTACTGGGACTGCTGAAGAAGGATGCTCCCACTGCACCTTGCTTTTTGCCTTACCCTGCTGTGCAACACTCACGTAACAGTGAAGTGACTGTGGGAGTAGAGCTTGATCTGCTCTGTGAGGAGAGGGAAAGGTTCCCACTGCACCAGAGCTTGTTGTGAATGCTGTAGCTGAGAAGAGGGGAGCCCCTGCAAGTGCCATGTCTCCTCTTTCCCTTTCTGCATGGAGTAGGGCATTTTTCTTGCCACTCTGGCCTCTGCCCTAACCATGAAACTGATTTGTAGCCACCCTCTCTGGTCACAGAGGATTAAAGCTTCCATCTGCTGTCACGAGGGGCATGACATCTGTTCTGTGTTTAAACCTGTGGATGAAAGAATTCCCAAGCCCTAAATCAACCACATTCAGCCTTATCCTAAGATCACAACTTTTGTGCTTAAAATCTGGAGAGACTTTCAGTGAAAAACAACACGTGTATTCTCCGTCTATTAACTGATTTAGGCTTTATGTCAGTCTGGACAAATACTCGTTCCTTTATTTTTGCTTCCTTACTCTTCATGCTTTGAAGCTGGCAAGTGGTTTTTGTGGCTGGAGCACTTAGCAGAAGCCCTAGCTGCTCTCCAGGTTTTCTAGGCAATCTCAGTGAAGTGTGACATGGCAGCTTCCCCCTTGCTCAACAGGAACAAATTCCCTTCTGCAGGTCCTGGCTTGCAGTGGTAAATCTCAGCTGTGCTGTGAAGTCAGAGAAGCCTCACAAGCTTTTAACTCACTCTTGTCATCATCTGCTGTGCGTTGCAGCTCTCCGAGACCACCGCTGAGTCCCATCTGATGGAGAAGGAGCTGGAGGAGCTGAAGCAGCACAGCCGGAGGAGGAAGTGAAGAAGAGGTGGCTGGAGAATGGGGCTGGCTCTGGGTCTTGGCCCACAGGATGCCAGGGCTGGCTTGGGCCTCCCAACCACTTTGGTACTGTGTGTAGGTACTTTGTTTCGTGCGACCACGAATGACGAGATGCTACTCTAGTGTTGTGCAGTGCCAAGATGCTGCTGATGGCTGGTTTGGCACCACAGCACTGTTAAAATTAACACGTTTGTTCTCAGAGCACTTTATCTTGCTGCGTTTCCTCACCGCAGCCCAGCATAGGTACTCTCCTCTCCAAGGCAGCCAGACAAGGGCAGTGGAGAAGATTCCTCTCCACGCGGGCTCCTCCTTGCCTTAAGAAGGCAGGGAAACCCCTGCCCCCTCCAGCCTGTCCCCCCACGAGGAGCCGGCGGAGGGTCGTACAAGCCTCACTGCCTGCCTTGGGCGAGCAGGATGCTGGAGTTGCTCGTTCTCGAGGGTTTTGCATATTTTACATAAAATCTCGCCTTTAAAACCTGGCTCTGCGGGTGTCTGTGTCGGGTCGCGCCGCGGGGGAGGGGGGCGGGCGGGGGGAGACCATCGTTCCTCCGCGCCGCCAGGGGCCGCTGCCTCGCCCGGGCCGGGCGGCGAGAGGGCCGCCCTTCTTCCGGCGGCGCTGCGCCCTCCGCCCCCTCCGTCCTGTGTGGTGGCGATGGCGGCCGCGGCGTCCCTGTCCCCGGAGGAGCTGCTGCCCAAGGGCGGCGCGGGCAAGGCCGAGGAGCTGGAGGACGAGCTGGAAGAGGAGGAGGAGGACGACGAGGAGGTATCGGGGCGGGCGGCGGCGCGGCGCGCCGGGCGGGCCGGGCGGGCGCGGTGACCCCGCGGGGCCGGGCGGCGGGGCCTGACGCGCTGGTGCCGCCCGCAGCTGGACGAGACGCTGGCGGAGCGGCTGTGGGGGCTCACGGAAATGTTCCCCGAGAGCGTGCGATCGGCGGCCGGGGCCACGTTCGACCTGTCGCTGATGGTAGCGCAGAAGATGTACAGGTGAGGGGGCGGCGGGAGCCCCTCGGAGCGGGCCCGGCGGGCGCAGCGGGGCGGCTTTGGCCGCGGGTGGCGCAGTGCGGGGCCGGCAGGCAGCGGCAGGACCGCGCTTTTTGTTTCTGAGCGGCGCGGGCAGGGCGGGGGTAGGGTGCCACCTCGGGGGTGTATCTGGGGGAAGGCTTTTGCCTGAGGCACAGAAGGGAAGCGTGGGAAGGGAAGTGGGTAAGAAGTGACCAAAGAACCGATTCTAAATCCTAATGTTCTTTCTCCTTGCTAGAATCTCTAGGGCAGCTCTGTGGATTGGGACCACCTCCTTCATGATTCTGGTTCTTCCTGTCGTCTTTGAAACTGAAAAACTGCAGATGGAGCAACAGCAGCAGCTGCAGCAACGACAGGTGAGGCAAGAACGGCCCAGCCCTCTCTCCTGGCCCTGCAGAGTCGGCTGGGGGTGCTGGTGCCTCCCGGTTGCTGGGGAAGAGGAGTGCACTGTTACACACTGTGGCCTCACTCATCCCTCCAGATTCTCTATCTGGATGTTCCAGTGGGACAGTCCTGCCAATTTTGCAGCGTCAGGCTATGGCAGTCTCTGGCAAGCACAACCTGGCTTTCTCCAGCTGAGACAGGCCCTGGAATAGCTGAAATAGGGTCTGTGGTCAGGCACTGACCTTGGCTGTGGCACCAGCAGTACCTGTGGGAGGGGGGACTTGGTGGGTATCCTTCCTATGTCCTTGAAGCCACCTAACCAGTTGTTTTCCTTCCAGATCCTCCTTGGACCCAACACAGGGCTCTCAGGGGGAATGCCAGGGGCCCTGCCTCCGCTGTCAGGAAAAATCTAAGTTGCGGAAGCTGAGTTGGATTCATATCAAGTGGGAAGACCTCGCGATTATGATATATTGAACTGTTGATTTGTTGGGTCAGGGCATTTTTTCCTTTTGTTTGTTTTTGGTTTTTGTTCTCCTTTGGGACATTGACCTGTTCATAACGAGGGGGGGAAGCCCCTCCTCTGGACCTGATGACGGTTCCTGTCTGCATCCCCCCTCCTGTAGAAATCATGAGTATTTCCTTTTATTCAATCACTATGCCATAACCAGGTACAGACTCGGACTGGGGGAGCTCCTCTGCCAGCTTCCTCGCCCCTGCCCCCACCAAAACCACCCTGGGGCACAGGTCAGGCTTTGAAAAGCAGCAGTCAGAGAACAAATTCTTTTCTGCCTGATTCGGAGCTGAAGGACACCGGTGGCAGGAGGAGTGACTTTTGCAGCAGAGGAAGGAGGGGTGCAGGTGGCAATCAATATCCCATGGAAAACACTCTTTGGGAAGATGTGTCTGCAGAAACACGTTCACTGTAGCTCTGTGTGTGTGTGAGAACGGAGGGAGCAGTAGGCCAGGTTTGAGACGATCACATCCACGCAGATTCTCTGCCTCATAAAGTAGAACTTCAGATATCAGCTGCGTATTTTTTTGTATGGAATATTAAATAAATCCAACCTGAGCAGTGTGATTTTAATAGATGTCCTTGAGGGAGGCTCAGTTCTTTCAGAGCTGTTGGGGGCTTTGTGGGTAGGGACCTCTCCATTTTCACGCACATCCTGGCAACGGGGAAGGGGCTGACATGGCTCTGTCACCCTCAGAGGGGTGGGGAAGCCCTGTACGGCTTAAAGGAGGTGTCAGAGAGGTGCTCAGCACTAGTGACCAACGTTCAAGGTTCTTAACTCACAGAAAGGTGGTGGTTTTATAACCAAAGAAAAAAAATTTATTTATCCTTTACATACTTTGTTACAGAACAATTCAGTTGAACATACAGAAGTGATAGGACATTTATATGGAAACATTTTTTTTTTCCATTTTTAATATTTGGTTAAACAAAATACATCTCTGTAAACAAACCCAAGACAAGGCTCTAACAAAACCAAACAAGCAAAAAAACAAACAGGGGCTTCCCCACTCCCGAGCGGTGGGACTGGACCGGCTCACCCACCCTTGGGCATGGCAGCCTCACCTCCCGCGGGGGTGTGATCGTACACTTTCCCTTTACCTGAGCAGCTGGATCACACTGTTTCCCCCCCATGGGAAAGCAGCTGACGTACAAGAAGAGGAAAGTAGCCCCTAAGTATTTTAAAACATCTTTGCATATTGTGCACTGATCCATTGGCTTGCAGTTTCCATGCAAACAGGGTTTTTCTCCAAAGTGCAACTTCAATCAGCACAGAAAACGTTGCTGTTGAGATTTAATTTTTCCCCTCTTGAAGAAATGGCTTCAAGTCAGGAGCAGAATGCCTGCAGGCTGCACATCCTGCCTGGAAAGCGTTTAAAAACTCTGCCAGCTGGTATTGGTCATTGGAATGTGTTACGAAATAGGACTTTTTAAAACGGTAAGAGCCGTTTGCCCTTTACTGTGGGAGGCTGTGCTCAAAGGACTGCACAACAGTGCTTGCCAGATGTCCAGGGGGCTGTGAACACCATCGTCCCATCCTCATGTGGCCTCTCTGTTGGGAAGGTGCCATTCTGGTGGTCTTTCAGTTTCAAGCACCCACTCATGCACTTGCAGAGCTCTAAAGAGAAAAATAACTGAGAAAAGATCATTACAAGCGCTCCTTTCACCAGGTCAAACATCAGTAATGAGACCTTTCAGCACGATGGAGCAGGATCCTTTGAGCTCCATCAGGTCCCAGAGGTTGCTGTTCAACTGAGACACGTAAAGAGGGAAGCAAACAGCAGCTCAGACAGGAAGTGCTAAACACAATGAAGTCTGTTCCAAATTCAGCATTAACACCTCCTGCTGTGGAAGGCATGGCTGAGCTACAGCTCGCCTGGGTGACTGGGAAACAGCCGGTAGGGATTCCACTTAAGAGTCTCCATGTCTAGTCACTCCCACAGAACACAGGAAAAAGGAATTCATCCATTAATGGAATGCTTGTCGGCCAACGCTAAAGGGGTGATTGGTTCAATTACCAAGTTGGGGTGTCTCTAATGCCTGAGAGTTCTGGTGGACCCTCTGCAGCTCTCACACAAGTGGCTACTATGAAAGGGCAAAACTGACTTACGAAGGCTTCCCTCCTCAGCCCATTTTTATAACTCGACCTGTTTCTGGCACATTTCACATGACATTCCTGACTGTAGGCTAGGCTTCTGAAGAGGGAAATAAATGGGAATGAAATTTCTCTCAAAACCTCCCTCTTCAGCTTTATTCCTCTCTCCAAGCAGCCTCTAAACTACTGGGTGACCATGTAGAAAACCAAAATATGTGTTAAAAAATAAAACAATTTCCCCCCCCACCACCACCACAGCATGAAGAAACCCAAGCAGACTATGGCCTCTCTCCAGTCCAGAAACTTGATACTCCTCAGCCTGTGCCTGCTGTTTCCATGTCATCTTAGCCAGCCACACGCTGCCAGACAACCGCTCACCACATACATAAATCCCTGGAGACACTGGGGAAGAATCCTCTAGCTACCCGAAGAATTTCTTGGAAGATGACACTGTTTTTATTATTGTTTCCTAACTTCTGGCACAAACCAGCCCTAAGAAGCAGAGGGTCGTGCTGAGCACCGTACCATTCCTAGTGTTTTGAGTGTCCTGAGAGACCCTTAGGAATTGCAAATGTCTTCATGGTGACTTGTTTTGGAGAGAGAGACTTGTGAAGAGATGGCAGCATGCTTGGCTCCTGCTCCTCCCTGGCAAGCCCTGGACAGGGCTGGGCCCCTCCATACACGGCCCTGAGCCACATGGGGAAAGGGAGGCCAGAGGTTTCCAGGCGCCCTCGCCCCCAGCCCAGTTTTAAAGAGCACGATGCCTTCCCGCTGGCCAAAGGGCACACAGCTCATCCACCTTGCAATTGAAGTGATTGGCTTCCAGTTTCCTCCACTCTGGCCTTAATTCTTCCCCACCCACCACCCCCAACGTCCTGCGCCATTGCCCTATTGCACCAAGGAAGGAAGAGAAGAGCCTAACAAAGGAAATTCCAGACAAGAAGAGTCGGGGCACCCATTATCCAGGTTTTAGGACATCAGGAGTTTGGTAAAGGGGAAGAGCTGTAGTGGGAGGACGAGTCGGTCCAGGTCACACGTCAGCTCTCCAGGTCTGATGTGCTTCCACCTCCTCTGGGACCACCAGGAGGAGTTCACAGTTCTTTCCTCTCAGCTGGTGTTTCAAAAATTTCCTATCGTGAAGAGAAATAGAAATAAGTGCTACTGAATGTAGAACTCTATCATCTTCTACAACAACTAAATGCAACTATGTAGATGTGACAAGAAATGGGAGAAACGCACCTCGCCCAAAGTCTTTAGTTATTTTACAACAGAAAAAAACCTCAAACAAATATAAAACTTGTCCTAGTAGATTCAACACACCTCTGCCCAGAAAACTATCTCAGAATCAGATAGACATTATCTTAATCTCAGAAGAGAGAAGTCTATATAGATGTCACTTTCCAAGGTAGCAAAAACAGAATTAAAACCAAGTTCAATTTATTCAGATTTCCAAGATCAAGAATCCCACTGTAATTTAAAATAATTCCAACATATCTGGGAACACTTGCAATAAAAAACAGCCCATCATTTAGATGTTCTTATCACAGATTGTAGCAGAAGTGTACTACCTGGTCATTTGACATGATTTTTTTAGCCCCTTTCTGCCCCTCAGCTTTTTCTAATACCAAACTTGGATTACTTCCAATAAATCTGAAAGTCAAATCAATGTTTTCTCTCATACTTTTTGTTCCAGTTTTCCAAAACTCCCAATATAGAAAGCCCATATTTACTGCTGAAGAACAATACACCCAGGATAAAATCCACCAGAACCTCTGCACAGTAGTTCCATAAAAACACTCCAGTCTTTCTTTATCCCAGAAATTCACAGAAGGCTGACATTCCCTTTACCAAGACTTCAGTGGCACGGTCAGTTCTGCAAATACTGCTGATGTGCAATCCCTATTTTACAACAAGTCTAATCAGGACAGGAAGGCTGCTAGTAGGATTCACAACATGATGGAATGTAAGCTAAACAACAACCAAGAGCAGGTGAGACTTTATAAAGCATTTACAGCAACCACCTCATGTTAAGATTAAAGAGGGAAGAGGAGCCAAGCCAGGAGGGCAATGTATGCTTACATAAGAAAGTGATTTCTAAAAAACAGCTTTCACTGCTTTCAGGGATAAGGCTGGACTTTTAGTCTGGAAAGCCTTTTATTGGGAACATACAGATTGTTACTAAAGAGGCAAAGAATGCTCACTCTCACATTCAAGGAGGGAGTAGGGCACAGCACATCTTGTTGCAGGAGTCACCCACTAATACCAGACCTGGCCTCTACCTTTACCAGAAATGACAGAGCCAGACACTTAAGAGGCCAAGTCAGGCTCTCCTGAGCTCACAGAGATTGCCACTGCTGAAAGTATTTCCCTAGCTCTGCCTAAACAGGGCATAAATCCAAGCTGGAGGCACAAGAAAGTTTTTACTCTCAAATATTTACTATTGAAGGTCAACCATACATGTTTCAATCACTAACTGTTTAAGGACACATTTCTCATCTCCAACAGGGAAAGATTTGAGGAAATCCTACCTGAGCTCACTTTCACCTCCAATCCACTCGGGCACCTTGAGCTTGGAGTCAAGGTTGTAGTAGGTGCCTCCCACCTCCCGGACACAGATCCAGTGCTGTCGCTTGAGGGGGAGCTTCAAGGGGCCCCAGCAAAGGCTAGAGGGCAGATTCATGATGAAGCCCATCACGTTAGACAGAGCAATGGCATTAACATCCCTGAAAGAGTGCAGGCAACAAGGCAGCAGTAAGATTATGTTCTGGTGCTTTCAGTTCAATCTTTCTCATTTTCACAAACAGCAGCCACCTCCAGAATTACACAAGTTGTCAGTACCTGCGCTTGTCCCACCAAACCGCCTCATAGCCTTTGGTCTGAAGGGCTGCCATGATCACGTTCACATCATAGTTCCCATTTCCCAGCATGCTCTTCTTGTGGGGGGTCACCATGGTGTTGGGAGACAGCCTGCAAACAGAACAGGGGGCTGCTCTAGCAGGTGTTTGCTGAACCTGTATTCTACAGCCACAAAGGGGCTACTTGATGTACAACCTGAAGGCCATTTTCGGGGGAGTGGTGTTTAAACACAAACTGTTCCATTCCCCCTTTTCATTCATCAAAGGGGCTGAGGGGACTAAGTAATGAATTAAAAATAACTTTGGTGTACAAAGCTTCCAAAGGTCCTACCTTTGATGTGAAAAGAGATCACAAAGCTTTCCCCCTCCACTCCCTTGAACTGGTACTTCTGAAGGATGCTTCAATTATGACTTTTCCTCAATTCACTGCTGGAGTAAATGCCAGTTTGCCATTTAGGACAATGGCTATTACAATTCTGAGAGTTCAATAGTCAACACCAGTCTTGAAGACCGGATGAGAAAAAGAGGCAGGGGAAGTTGGATGTAGAAAAGGTTGTTCTCCCCACCCTCTCACTGGTAAATTGAAGAAATATTCAGACACAAAGCTGTGCAGACATTTGTGGCTGGGAGCTTTCTAAAGCACTGCTTTTGCTAGATGGTAAAAAAATATCTGTTGCCGTAGGTAACTAAACAGATAATCCTGTTGTGAACAAATCTCTTCAGCTTTGACCTATAAGCTCGCTTAGACATCACTTCCATTAACACAGCATCTAAAAATGCAGAATTACAGTCTATCGTGTTCATCTAATCATACAATATCCTGAGTTGGAAGGGATCCACAGGGATCATCAAGTCCAAGTCCTGGCCGCCACAGGACTGCCCGAAGAATCACACCATGTGATTGAGAGCATTTTCCAAATGCTTCTTGAACTGTCAGGTTTGGCGCTGTGACCACTTCCCTGGGGAGCCTATTCCAGTGCCTGACCACACTCTGGTTGAAGAACCTTTTCCTAATATCCAACCTTAATCTCCCCTGCCACAGCTTCATGCCATTCCCTTAGGTCCTGTCACTAGTCACCAGAGAGGAGAGATCAGTGCCTGCTCCTCCACTTCCCCTTACGAGGAAGATGTGGACTGCCATGAGGTTACATGCAAAAATAGAAGACGGCCTTTCCAGCGCTTCAGATCATGGATGCGAGACACAAAACATGGAGATGGGTGGCAAAAAACCCCGTTATCCACTTTTATTGCTTTATGTTCCCCCCCCCAACAAATTTTGTAAGGAGGGAAAATGATGATGGGATGTATGATGATGAAGACGACAGCTGGAAAACCAAGCACAGGAGAAACTGGGAGCAAAGAACAGCAAGGTCATGCAATGCCAATCCAAAGAAAGTCAAGCCTGAGATCAGTTCTGTTGTAATGAGTTGCTCATTTGATTGGTAAGGACTTCCTTAGTTCTGCTGGTGCAAGGTTCAGATTTCACATCATCCAAACACCCACATTTTACCTGCCTCTCCCTCCTGTCAGCTCCACCCCCCAAAACTCCTAATGTTCTTGCACGTTTTTCTCTAGGCCTTTAGCACAGTGCACATTCTGCAGTCATATTTCATCCAGTGAAAATCCCTCCTCCCCTCTGCATTCCTGCCCTGACAGCATAAGGCATTTGACAAGAAGAAGAAGAAAGCAGCGGCTTGAGTAGGGAGTTTCACACCAACCAAGGTCTGAAGACAGGTAGCTTTTGGCTTCAGCTGTTTTCCTGCACTGGAGCAGACTGCAGCAAAACAGCATTCTCCCCACAGGAGGGTGGGGAGGACTTGACTATAGAAGGGAGAAAAGTCCATGACACCATGGCAAGAGGAAAAGCTGTTAATATCCACCATGGGGCATTTCCAAGTAAGGCAGTGACATTTTCAGAGATTCATGGTTTCCAGTCTCCAAAGCTGTGCTGAATTTTACTAGTCACAGAGATGCAACTGTAGCTTGTCACAGCTCTGCCAGCATCTCCATAAAGCAAGATCACTTTGCTACAACTAATTCCTCAAGATCATTGCTTCATCCTAACTCATGAGCACCAGCGAGCTAGGGAAAGCCTTACAATTAAGAACGCCCTTTGGGTTACAGAAGCTTCCTCTCCTTGCACCGTATTCCAGATACAAGTTTGGGAGCCGAAAAAACACATTTATCTTTGTTCCTTCATGTAACTTGCAGAGTCCCAGAAATGAGAAGAGACCAGCAGAAGTGACACTCTCAAAGAAGCGGCACCTGTGAGCAAACCTGCACCAAGAATCGCCTCAACATCACTACCCACACACACACCTAAGTAAGGTCCACATTCATCAGGTGAAGCATTCTATCACATAAGGAATTAATTTGCCTCCCCAAAGTTATTGTTTGGGTTTTTTTAGGGTTTTTTTTTTGTGGAGGGAGGGGATGGTGTTTGGTTTTTTTTGTTTGTTTGTTTGTGTTTTTTTTTTAAATCTGGACACTGAACTGAGAAAGACTGACAAATCTGGACTGAAATCCAGGTAATGTCAGTCAGAAACTTTCATCAACATATTGTCTCAACACAAGGGGCTCCAAGATTCCTGTATGCAGCTGTCTTTCCTAATCAGGTCTCAATACACACACTGCAGTGAAGCGAAGAGATTTTGTTTGTATCTCCACGCAACACTTGGAACAGGCAACTTACTTCCTGCAATAAAAGCCAGAGGAACATCAAAAAGGTATTTCTTGTATGAAAGAAAAGGGAAGGACTACAAAATCAGAGGGGTGCCTGGAGCAAGTTTTGGCACACTCTTGAGATGATAATCATCAAGCCTGGCCTTCCACAATAGGATGCAGCAAAAGGGAAGCTAATGATTAAGCGATGTGGTTCAATCATTCTCCAAGGGATGTGGTAAAAGCTACAGAAAGCTTAAGTTTACTTGTGATTTCATTACCTTGTCAACACTGGGTTTAAAAATCACACTGCAACATTTTTGTAGCTTACTAAAAATATTCATCAGTCCTTTATCAATATACAGAATGTGATAAGACCCAGAGAAGAAAAGAGAGATATAAAAGGCAACTAAATCCACTCTTCTTAAAGGCAAATCAGAGTGCTATACATAAAGTAGTAACCCAACAGAAATGGAAAGGTAGTGGCAATTCTTACACATAGCTTACAGCTCATCCATTTCCAACAGGAAATCCACATATATCTCCATACTACCATAGGGCTGAATCAATCTGTCTATCTTCATCTGAATATTAGGAACACCACCAGGTTGGACTCAAAAGCAAACTCTCCCTTCTATGGCAAGAGGTCCAGCAAGATTAACATCCCATTTCTTTCTAAGAGGTTTCATGCTGTACACTAATTCTGTCTCACCAAGCCCAACAAAAGCCAACTAATTAGATCATCACACTCCTACCAAAGGAACTGCCTTGTTTGCTTCAGGCCAAGAGCAATCCAGCTGTGATTAAGATTCTGACAATTGCTGCTCTGGAACAAAACCACAGTGTTTTTACACTGGACAAAGAGTGCCTTGAGCCTGCCATGGACCAGCAGGAATTTTATCTATAACACTGTTGTAAACAGCATTTCAATCTGATGTTTGCTACTGTCCATTACCACATTTCTTTTGCCAAAGACAGGCATGAGTCAAGCGCCAGTTCCATAAATCTGCCAGTTTTCAGGAGAGCGGTGACAGGTGCACAGCTCCCTGCTCATCAGCACAGGGTACGACGACTGCCTTGTCCCACAGCACCTACGTAGCCACTGCCATGATGTGGGATTTCCAACCTGGCCCAAACACAAGATGCTGTCAACTGCTGAGCATAGCCTAAGCGACTTACAGCATCTGCAGGTTCAGTATCAAAGGAGAACCCTTCTCCTGTATGATTACTTAGCTCCACCATTGAAAGATCACTAGAATTTTTAAAGGCACACACAGCACATTTTCCACAAAGCATTGAAACAGCATAAAATAAACACTGAGCAAAGTATGAGCTACGGCACAGGCTACATTAATAATTTACATTCATCCTTGTAAAACTCAAAACCACTTTATTAATTATTGGAAGCTATTGGGAAACATTTAGCAATGCCACAAAAAATGAGGATCCAGCTACTGAAATTAAATCAGGGTCTTGCTGCATGGAAAAAAACCAGACATAATATTTGAAGACCTTCACTGAATCACTTAAATAAGGAGTCACTCATTTGACAAAGTTCTAATTTCCAAAAATCTTAGAAGTGATGTAGTACTAAGTGAGTTTTTATGATGACCCATTTGTCATTCCTGCTGCCTTCATTCTCCCAAGGGAATTCCCAAATCTGTTATTAAGATAACATATACAAGTCAGGGGCAAAAACATGGAAGATGGGTAAAAGAGGCATTAAGGTGGGTAGGGAAGAAGACAGCAGTCCAACAGCATCCATGACAGCATCTTCAATAAAGCTCTTGGACCCAAAACTGGCAGCCAGAATAAGTTAAGAAACAAGTGAAAAGAGGAAGAATTTCTGCACGGAGGAAAAGGACTGAGTATAGAAAAGAAAATACATTAATCTCAAAGCAGTGGCATAGTCTGAACCCCTCCTTTTCTTTACATTTCCCCAAATAAGACCTGAAAATTCCTCCAATTAACAGAGGAAAAGGGGAGCTACCACCAATACAGAGAGTATCCTACCTCTGGAAAATCTCCTGCAGGGTTTCCCTGGTGAAGGCGTTGCTGTCCTGGAAGACATTGTTGAGGGCATGGAGGGCGCACAGCTCCCTGCGCTGCTTCTCATGGTAAATGTGCAGTGGCGGTGGCTGAGGTGGCTCTGGTGATTCTGATTTGGTCTTGTCACCTTTCCATGGCACGCAACTCATTTTCTCGATGGGTGAATGTGGAGTAGTTGGTGAGAAATGAAGGAGGCTGAAGTTTCTGCCTCCACAATCAAAACAGCAGCCCACTGACCCTTTCTTTGGTGAGCTAATGCTGCTTCCAGCTCACAAACCCTCCTCTTGTGCTTCAGTTTATTCAGTAATTCCCTCTGACAGCAGGTTTTAAAAACCACATGAAGATCTGCAACATATTTTTCCTCCCTCCTCCCATACCCCATAAAATGTAATACTTCACCTCCCCTTCACAAAAAACAAACAAACAAACAAAAAACAAAAACAAAAAAACACCACCAAAAACGATTCCCCTTAGTGTCTAGATACCAGCTGAAATTTATCACATCGTTCCTTTTCTTCCATCTCCTTTGGTCTATAGTGACAGTAAAAGGCTACCCAAAGCAGGTAAGGAGAGGCCCACCCCAAAGTGCCAAAGTGGAGAAGATAAAGCCAGCACCGGGTGCTGCCTATGGGGCCACAGCGTGGTTAAGCACTTATCAGCTGCATTCCTCCATTCCTTCGGGAACGACGGAATCCTGGCAGGAAGATGCCAACAGCTCGGGAAAGGAAACTGCTTCTTGCTAGGCCACGAGAAGCCCAAGTCCAGGCTGCGGGGAAGGCGATTCCTCACAGGTCACCCTGCGCTCCGACAAAGGGAAGTCTCCGTTAGCAACGGGAGGAGGCGGCACAAAGCCCGTGGGAGGGAGGGGAGCACAGGCGGGACCAGCCCCACGGCCTGCCTCGCACTTTCCCACCTCAGCCCTCCCCACCCTGCGCCCTCGCAACCACCACCACAACAACCTGGGCAGCGGTCGCCTCCCACTACCGAAGCCCAGCGACCCCAGCAGCCCACCGCGCTGAGGAGAGGCCCCCGCCTGAGCCTTCCCCAGTCCCTCGGGGCTCGCGGCCAGGCCGAGGCGCCCGCCCTTCCCCTCGGGAGGGCCCCGCCGTGTCGGGCCAGGCCGGGCCGGGCCGGTCCCGCCGCCGCCTCCTCCTCTTCTTCCTCCTCCTCACCGCACGCTCGGCCCCTCGGGCCGCCCCGCGCCGGCGCACGCGCGCGCCGCACCGCGCTCGCGCCGCTCTCGAGCACGCACACGCGCGAGGAACACCCCCCCGCCCACCGCACGCGCCGACGGCCGAGCGCAGATGCGGCTCCGCCCCTCCTGGCGTCAGCCCCAAAGGAGCCGGGACACGGCCGAGAGGGGCTCCGCCGCCCGGCGAACAAACAAACGCGAGTCCTCCCCCGGCTCCGCTCTGTGCCGCGGGCTGGAGCTGGCGGAGGGGAAGGAGTAGGACGGACGGCTTCCCCCGCCGCACTGCAGGGGTCACCTGCTGACCCACAGAGCGCCTCAGCCAGGGAGGTTTCCTCCTGGGCGTTGGCGTCCTGCCTGCCGGAGGCCACTGCGAGCGGTCTGAACACCGTGGGCTCGCATGGCATGGAGGCCTTCTGTCAGGAGCCCAGGGCGGAAGGGGCAGAGGGGCTCTTTTCCCACGCCAAGGGCTGTGGCGGAACGCCGGCCCGGAACAGCCGGTCCCGCAGGCTAGAGAGACAACCGGCGCGCCCTCCCCATACCATTGTCTCACACAACTGTCAGTGAAAAATCGTCTCTTTCTCACTGGCTAGTCCGAGAGAAAGCCCACCCACTGGGGCGGGTCCTCTGGCAGCATCTTCGTCCCGCCCGTCGCGGGATTGGTTGTGGGGGCTGTTTGTCCCGAGGTCCAGCCCTGCCGTTGGACAGCGCCCCGGCACGTCGCGCGGGCTGCGCTGTGTGTGTTTGTGTATGTGTCTGTGTGTCTGTGTGTGTGTGTGTTTGTGTATGTGTCTGTGTGTTTGTGTATGTGTCTGTGTGTCTGTGTGTCTGTGTGTGTGTGTCTGTGTGTGTGTGTATGTGTGTCTGTGTGTCTGTGTGCGTGAGTGGGTGTGTGTGTGTGTGTCTGTGTGTGCGCGCAGCAAACAAGCCGAGCTGGCACTGCTGCTCCCATTGGCTTCGCGCGCTTCGCGGGGGCGTGGCCTCGCCTCACGACTAACCAGGGCCCCGCCCGCCGCCGCCATGGCAACATGCAAATCGCGCCGCTCGGCCTTCGGTCATTGGCGGGCGCCGCCTTGGCGGGCCGGGGGCGGGGCCGGGGCGGGGGAGCGGAGGGCCGGGCAGGGAAGATGGCGGCGGCGGAGCGGAGCCGATCCCCGGTTCCCGGGGGCTCCCCGGTGCCGGCCTGTATGTTCGCCCCGGAGCCCGGCTCCCCGGGCGGACGGCCTCGCGTGGCAGCGGCCGCCTGCCCCCTCCGCGCCGCCTTCGACGGCGAGGACGGCGAGGCGCTCAACGGCGAGCCCGAGATCGACCTCACCAGCAAGGTAGGCCCGACGGGGGGGCGGGCGGCGGCGAGCGCCATCACCCCGCCGGGCCCCCGCTGCCCTCCTCCCCCGCGGCCCCCGAGCCTCGGAGGGCTGCTCCCCCAACCTTTCCGCTGGCCGCACGTCAGGAGAGCGAGGGGCTGGGGCCTGACTGGCTCCGCCGGAGCGAGAGGCTCCCCCGAGGACTCCCCCTGCCCCGGCATCGCCCGGGCGAGCGGCAGAGCCCTCGATGCCTGTGGAGGCGGCCGGGAGAAGCGCAGTAAAGTTGTGCCGTGCCCCGGCCGGGACAGGAGGCTACTGGCAGGCTGCTCCGCCCGGCGCCTTCCCCGCCTCGGCAACCCGGGGGCATCACCGGCCCGAGGCCGGTGCAGCATCTTAGGCGAGCGCGGGTTTTGGAGCTGACAGCTGCTGCAACGACCCGCTGACGTTTTCCCTCCGCGCTGGTGCTCTGTAGTTATCTCTGCTGCCAGTTGCACTAGTTCCTGGGGCTTTCTGCGCAATCTTAAAAAAAGGTCAGAGCTTGTAACTTTTGAGCCCAAGTGCTCATTGACAGGAGTGCCTGGCTCTTGCATACAGGGTTAAGTTCAACACAAAAACGTTGGTTCACCTTGTGCAGTTCCTTTCTAGGGTCCCAGGGACAGAACTGTATGATGGTCTTATTTTTATCAGAACCAGTTTTCACTTTCATCTTGCAGGAAGGTACACTGTAGTAATACATGCGTGCTAGAGCCTACCACAGACTACATTAGCTGCCTTTAGACACTGTCTCTTGTTTTTTTCCCAGCTGGCCGATCTTTTTAACTATATACCTTTTGCTGCTATGGGTTTGATGTACTGTGGTGCTGTCTCCCACATTAAAGTCTCCTGAAAGCTTGGTTTTGTCCACTTGTAATTATGTGACCCAGAAGTCAGCATAGCTGGTGTTTCCTCCTAATTTTCTACCATGCCTCCTCTTCGTGCTTTCAACTGAAGTTGTTCCAAAGTCCTGAACTTTCTCACTCTCTATGCACAGGAAAGTGGAGAGAGAGGAATTGTGGTGTGTGTGGACATATTTTATAATGTGAGACTGTTTTAAAACAAATGTTATGAAGATGTCATAAGATAGTAAAGAACAGAAGTCAAGCCTGCAGTATCTATTAAGCCACCTGTTCACACCTTAATGAGCTGGACAAGATTTTTATACAGGATGCCAATATTGATCTGTGCTTTGTCTTGGATGTGACTGATGTGGAAGAGGGCCAAGGAGGATGCCGAGGACTGCATCACTGATTCTTGACAGCCAGGAACCTGACCAAAACACTATCAAAGAGAGAAGAATGCTTTTCTCCCACGAACTCCATTTGTGGTGTCAATCCGTCTTCCATTATTAGAAATCTGCAGGCTCTGTGGAGGTGGTAGGTAAGCTTTTTTTTTTTTACCTTTTTTTTTTTTGACCTTATTATTATTTGCTTTTCCATTCAGCATTGTGCACCTACTTTCTTTTTCCTGGACCTTTCATTCATTCTCATCTTGTATGAGAGCTAAAAATGTGAGCTCTGCTCTCTCTCTCCAAGTTAGTCTCCCACTGTGTACTCAAAACAGCAATCCCATATGGTGAGAATGCAGTAGCTAACATCTACCCCCTGATCACCCTCTTCTGTTCTGTCTTCCCAGCTGAATTGCTCCACTCCAATCTATGCTTAAAATGGGAACTCCCACTGCAGTCAGTTTGTTGCTAATTACTACTGTCCTGGTCTGACCCACCCCCTGGCTGTTACATACTTGTTTCCCAGTCCCCTCCCAGTGCATTCACTGTAAGGGGAACTCTTTTTAGAGAGGATCGCTGGGATTCAGTTATCAAGTGCTCCTTGTCAGCTGGTCAAGCAAACAGTTCCGTTAATCAGCACAAATTCATTGTTGTGTTGATCTTAATGGGTGTTTGTTTTCCTATCAGTGCCAATACACTGCAGCAGTAATCAACTTCTAGGTCAAAAACCAAATCACACGACTGTTAGTGCAACTCATACTTCTATTAGATCTACATTGACAATAGAGCATTAATAGCACTTGAACTGTGTATGTCCACAGGGAATAGAAATCAGAATATGACATTACAGAAGGTGCCGTTTCCCTGACCTCCTGATGGCTGGTAGTGGCCTTCCAGCCGTGCAAAATGTCAGGCTCTCTTTTTCCAATAAAGAGCAGCACTACCTACCGCATAGTATTTGGTTTGCCCTCAATATTTATATTTTGTCTGCTTTATGGATATAGGATGCTTTTTGTAAGGACTGCCTGTATTAGTGCTGTGATAACCCAAGCTCCATCCTGCTGGTCTCTTGAAATTGCTGTTAGTTAATACTATGGCCTCTTGCTTGCTGTTTGGCAGTGCGGAATGGCACAGTCCAATCTGTTCCCCAGGAGTAAGCTCAGGCAACTGTAGCTGTTACCCACCTCTGGTGTGTGTTAATCCCAAAAGCGATCAGAGGAAAGGTGGGTAAAGCCACCTCTCCCCAGAGATAGGGAAGGGACTTTAGAGACTGGCACCTCAAACTTGTGAGATATGTTTGCTTCTGCTGTCTTAAGAATAAAACAATAACTGATTGTTACTTTTTTGCCCTGTAGGAAATCTGAGGTTTACTAGATCCGCATGGCTTCTACTGATAACTGCTCAGTGCCTGGCGAAGTGGAAGGAACAAAACAGAACATTTTTGACTTTGTGAAAATCCCTGAAACACACCAATATGTAGTGCAAGCATGGAGGGGGTTGCTCAAAGGTGAAAAGCAAAAAAAGCAGAGGGGCCAAAATGGAGGACCTCTCTCCGACCAAGAAGATGACAAAGACCAGACTCTCTCTGCCTAGGAAGCTAAAGAGACCTTCAAAACAGCACATCAAGTCTTGCAGTGGCCCAGGAAACTGCAGAGCTGGCTGAGGCTGTGGCTGCAGAAGG